TCGGCAGGTCAATCTCTTCACAAACGTCACGTTCTGACGCGACTCACGGCCTTTGTCGATCGTGTAGGAACTCTCAGGGTTGGTGAACGGCTGCAAAATTCTCAGCTGGATGATGATAGTAAACATCCAGCCATACTACCTCGTCAGTCAAAATTCACCAACCTAGTCATCTCCGATGCTCATGCCAGAACTATGCATGGAGGAACTCAGCTGATGCTCTCCTACATTCAAAGGACTTTCTGGATTATTGGAGGTCGTGCTCCAGTGAAGTCCTTCCTCAAAGATTGTCTCACGTGTGCTARAATACGTGGAGTGAGAGCACAACAACTCATGGCTCCACTCCCGGCWTCTCGAGTGACACCATCTCTCGTGTTCGAGACTACAGGGCTGGATTACGCCGGGCTAGTCACCATCAAGACCTTTCAATGCAGAGGTGCAAAGTCCTTCAAGGGTTGGATAGCTGTGTTCATATGCTTCTTTACCTCTGCTGTTCATCTTGAAGTAGTCTCTGACTACTCCACCGAAGGATTTCTCAAGGCATTTCGACGGTTCACCAGCCGTAGGGGCATTCCAAAAACGCTCAGAAGMGACTGTGGTACCAACTTCCAAGGAGCAAACAAGCAGCTTAAGGAGCTACTCTTAGCTGCAACGAAGGAATCCCTCAAGCTCAAGAGACTTCTCCGTAATGACGGCACTAATTGGATCTTCAACCCTCCAGCAGCACCACATATGGGTGGAAAATGGGAGGCGGCGGTGAAATCAATCAAGTATCATCTTAAACGAACCATCTCGGATGCGTTGCTAACGTTCGAAGACTTCTTAACGTTCTTAGCCCAAGTTGAGGCGGTTCTCAAATCTCGACCTCTCAGCTCTCTCTCGGAGGACCCCGATGACATCAGAGCATTAACACCAGGGCATTTCATCAGAGGRGAAGCATTAACAACTATCCCCGAGCCTTCTCTAACAGACATCTCAGATTCCAGGTTATCTCATTTCTAGCGGATTCAAGAGCGCTTCCAGCAGTTTTGGAAAAGGTGGTCGACGGAATGCCTGCAAGCGCATCAGACCACATNAACGATATCAGGGAAGGGTCTCTTGTCCTCATTACCGACGAACGACTTCCTCCGTCAAAGTGGCCTCTCGCCAGAGTGATACAGCTACACCCAGGAAAGGACGGTCTCTGCAGGGTTGTCACACTGAAGACCGCCACCAGTACTATAACTAGACCTATCGTCAAGCTCGCACCATTGCCTTTCCAACCGCACAAGGAACAATAATTTTCTCAGCGGTCCAGCACATCTCGCCATGACAAATTCTCGAATCACGTTCGAGAATTGGGGRRRAGAATGTTCGAAAATTGCGCCCCTCAGACTAGATAGCAGCACCTCTCAGCTAGCATGATTAATGCGCCGTCTGTTGTCGCTAAGAAAAAGACATATCGATTGT